TGATAAATTTGACTTTTAATTTTTGCGTTTTAAAACATGAAAAAAACAACAAAAAATGTAAAAATTATACTGTATTAGAATGGAGCTGGTTTCTAGATATGAAACACATGTAGTCACCTTGTACAAAATAACTTTGACATACCATTGCATAAATATATGATAATATTCTTTTGACATTATATGTCAATATAATACATAATATTCTTTTACATTAACTAAATCTCTCAAATGTAAAGTGAACTATCCTAATGAATTTGTACCAAAAATGCACATTCATGATTATGAAATTTTTGGGTTAATTAAAAGAAAAACGCAGTTCAGTTTCTATTTAATGTGTAACTTTCTGAAATATGTAATAAGCAAATTAAAAACTAAAATACTTTGATTTAAGATAAATATTTGTGTAGTTTTCAATAATGAAAATGGAACAACTGGGTGGTGACGAGGTCATGATCGTAAATAGGAAAATTTATAGTTCGGAAAAATAAATTTGCTGGGGTTTACTTTAATTTACGCAAGTAATGCACGGCTGATATGAGGCTTCCTTCTACCTTCTTTTTCATATGTATAGAATCTTTATAAGGTACATGAATGCATAATAAAAAAAATTTTTACAAAATGTACAAAAATGTTCGTGATACGTTTGTTAAACACTCCTACGCTTGTAGATTTCATCTGAATCCCATTAAAAATATATCCAACGAATTATTAAATAAATTAAGAAGACTTTTATTACAAAGAATAGTAAATAATTAACTTTCAGGAAAATGTGAAACATATATAAATATTTACGCAACCGTATGCAATAAATCACATTTTTTTACATTTTTTTTTAATCTAGAAACTACATGTCTACAGTTGTAGGATAATTTGTACGTTACTTGTACTTGATTTATGAAAGTCAGGTCTATACCAGTCCTTGAATATTTATGTGACTGTTTGTTATAAATTGTTTTTTAGAATAAAATACAGTAAATATTATACATATACGAATTGGTATTTTAATATTGCCCAGGAACGTTTATTAAATATTATAATGTTTTTGTCATATAAATTAAAATCATTTTAATACGTAATATGTTTCAATTTACTAAAAAATGTATTTTTGTAATTGTCGACGAATTATACAACGCAATTGTAATGTTATGAAATTATCTGTATGGAATGAGACTGAAGTGATTACACATATTAATAGCACTACTATTGATGTCACAGTGAGTATATTATACAATTATGTATTATTTGCTTTGCATTCAAGTAGCTAAGAAAAAAATGAAAAGTTGCAATGGCTGTTTGACACGTATATCGCCCATTCTGAGACTATAAAAAATCGATAAAGTCAAACTAATTTATTTAATAAAACAAAGATTGACAAGTTAAGATTTATGGTATTGATTACACTTTTAATTTGGAAAGCAAGTTATCGTTCTTTCTTGTAATTATCTACGTGGTATTGCACATGGAGTAAAAATAAATCAAATTAGAGTGCGACGAATAATTCGTGAAGGAGGCTTATGTCTTACGACCTTATCGAGTTCATCGCGTTCAAACTCTCAGGCCAAATGATCGTGCCATACTACAACGTTTATGCCAAATGATAAACCAAACTTCTACTCACGGACGAAAGCAGTTTTTAGGATAGTAGTATCCTGAATCGACAAAATGCAAGAATCTGTGCTTATAAAAATCTACATGCTATGATCCAGAGCTATTAAGATCAATGTCAATTTTGCGGTCCATTTTTTAGCAGACCTCCACAGATTCGGAGGTGCAAAAGTGCAAAAAAAGTTACAAAAAGTTGTAATATTTTAGCTTATGTATTTTATGTTATATTTTTATTTTTTTATTGTATTTATTTTAGTGTTTGTACTATAATTACAAACACTAGAAACTTTAGTACCAATGGTTTCCGTGGTGTAGTGGTTATCACATCCGCCTAACACGCGGAAGGTCCCCGGTTCGATCCCGGGCGGAAACATTTTTTTGCCTTTTTGTTTTCTTATGATTTTATTGCATACACACGTGAACATATTACTTATATTTTCGAATATATTTAAAAAGACTAGAAAATTCCAATAATTTATATAGGTACTAAAACATTCAAATATGCTTATATTTGATGTATTACTATTAATTTAATTTATTGGAATTTGACATTAATTTCATACTTATTGGTTAAATTTAATTGAATTACGAATTACGAAAAGTATTTTAAATATTCTTCGTTAAAAAGATTATTGTCGAATAATTCATATTAATATACAGACTTAGTAAGTTCGTAAATATTTGCTTACTATGGTATGTTACAAAATTATTCATAAATAGATAATTTTTTCGAAATTAAGATTGAAAAGCTTAAAATTAACTTTACTGCTTTTTGATTTCAAGATTAACAGCGTGTTTAGGATAAACATTAATACGATATTTTACTTTTATTAATACAATATTAAACTTTAACTTATAAATTAACCCATTTGTTCCATCACAGACAGGGTATCTATAGGAATATATTTAGTAATCTTGGCGTCATAGGCATTTTTCTTACAAAAAGTTATTAACGAAAATAGGGCTGTATAACTT